ATTTAAATTAACAAAAATGGATGATTTTATGAAAATATGTTAAGGACACTAAAATGTTGCATTAAAGTAACAAATCGACACCTAGTTCAAAAACTACGAATTTAATTAATGAATTATGGCATTCAAAATATATAAATAACCTTGCTCCTCCACACTTTTAAACGTTTTATTATTTTAATAAAAAAAAAATTCTTGTATATAAATCTATTTAATAACGACGCATTTATATACAATGTATCTATACGTTGTCAATAAAGAATTGATTGATTGATTAATTTGATTTAAAAGGCGGCGAACAATTTTTCCTAGTTTTCAAAATTCTTGAATTCTGAACAATTGTTTTCGTACAAAACCTTGAATTACCTACAGCAAAAAATTAAAACTTTAATCTATGAAAATAGAAGATAGAGATTCCCTTTTACCTGAGAAAAGTATAATACGAGATTTTACAGATAAACGTACATGTGCCTTGCTTAATTTGTGTTGATTTAGAATTCCCATTGACAATGTGCTCGATAACGGCCATTGTGATAAATGTTGATCACTTTCACAGCTGTTGTGACGTCACATAAATCACATGCTTGCCTCTACGTGACTTGAGCCTCAGCTGAGCTAACACAAAAGTGATCAGACATCGGCAAAGTCCTCAGGTATCCTTGTTTCACTTACCACTTTACTCATACATAGATTTCCTACTAAATACAAAAAATATAATTTTTTTTAACTTCTAATCGGTAATCATAAATAAGTTTTATTGGCAATGAAACAGTTAAACCCCAAGTAAACACTTTAAAATGTAGATACGTAAATTAATTTATTTTTTAGACATTTGCATGGTAACATTATTGTACATTTATTTTTGAAATAATAATGCACAATTGTATGGCAACTCAGCTTACAAATCAGATGGAAAAGACAATAAAAAAAAATAACAAAATCATGTTCAAAGTGCCAGTGGTAGGCTATACGAATTTTTTAAATTCCAAACAATAGAGGACCGTTAGCCAAAAGTGAAGTAGGGTGAGGAAAGTAAACTACATAATATAATAATATAAATCAAAGGTAACATAATCTGGTGGAGAAATAAATACGCACCTAAACGACTGCTTATTTATTTTTTATTTTGCTTGTTTTTTATTATTGTTTGGCGGTAGAACATGTTTCCCATTGGGATTTTTTCAGAGTTTAGTTGTTAGAAAAACTGTTTTATTACTCAACTTATTGACGATTGTTTCATATTATTTGTTTAGTTTGGTGGTTTAGTATAACTGTACCCATAAGTTGTGAGATGTGTATTGCAGTAAGTCAGGAGGGTTAAATATGGATCTTCCTATTTCATCTCCAATACACTTTTGCAATGAAACTGCACCGTTGCTATGGTGGTTGCTGGGTTGATCAAAAAGTTTAAATATGTATATTTGAGCTATCTCTTTCAATTTTGAGTATTAATTCTAGGACATCTTGTCGGTAACGTTGCACAATCTAACCGCAGCTCAATTGGTATACCGTGACTGCGGAATACATATTTACATTTCTCAGTTATTTAAGATTTTTTGATAAAGTATGTGTTTTTTTTTGTGAAAAAATGCATTAAGAGATTTTTGGAAATATTGATATAACTAGTTAGAGTGGCATGCCGATGAATGCGGTTTACGTTTCACTCGAATTAAACGTCGAAAGAGCGTTTTAAACATTTGAAACGCTTTATATATTTTGTATAACCAAAATGAAATGAAAATAAAACCAGGTTTTAAAGTTATACGATAAAGTATTGGCAATTTTGATAACATAAGTGAAAACAATCTGGGGGAAATAAAGGGTTTCAATGGTTAAACTAAGTGGATTGTTTGACGAATATGAAATCAATTTCGATAAACATCTGTACTCGTATAAAGCAGGACACTTTTTTCGTGACCCGGTTATGGGGGGAATTTTCTTGCGATCGATGCTAACAGCCTAACAGTTTAGGAAACACAAAAAAACAACTGAGCCGTGTTGTTAATTTAGGTTTAATCTCAAACGTGTAAAAGACCAAACATCACGCAAAGATTTCGTTGCCGAAATCAGATAAGAGCCTAGATACATGAATACCTATAAGCTCAGAATAAAGAGTGTAAACAAATATACAATGTGTTAGGAAAGTATTGGATGAATGATGATTTGTATAACTATTATCGATGCACATTTGTTTATGAATAATTATTATGTTATTGAAAAGCTTGTTTGCTTTTATCAGAGGGACAGCCATCGGGAAATAAGAATAAACCGTAAAAGGAATTCAGAGGCATCTTAGTGTAAAATAATAGTCCTTCACCGGTAAAAAGCCTCAAACCCGATCAAGAAGTTTCCCTTATGCTATGTGAACTGATCATTCTGCAACTCAAAATTGTTTTGTAAAAATCACTAATTGAACTTACACCGACTTCTCAACATATTTCCTTGGCAATATTCCACCCTGTTGTAGAAACTAGTAACAGAGTTTTGTATCAAAGCAGGATGTATTTGCCAATTTTCTTCAATAATTAAATTATTAGTTCTTATGCATTGGCAAGCTTACGTTGGGTTTAAATTTTAGTCAGGAGATCTGGGGGACTACTTTATCACTTTAATACGTAATTTCTAATGACTGTGAAACACATGATATAGTTTTGATAAAGTGTAAGAAATGGTGTCTCTTCCTTGGCACACCAAAAGAAAAATTTAATGGATTTGAACCGCTTTCCCAGAAAAGCTGTTGTGGTTTTTTAAAATTAAAAATGACAGTAGCGTAGACTGTGAAAAAACTTATCTTTAAAGACACAGTTGGATTGAAACTTATATTTAGCAACATTTAAGGCTTTGAAATAATTTAGGAACGAATTTGATGGTAGCTATGTGAGATATGCCATAAATTATGTACATTGCAAAAAAATAATAGAAAACTGCGAATATAAACCAAGCAATTATAGAAATTATACAAGAAATTGAGATTAAAAAATAAGTAAAAATACAAATGTTAAATGTATTTTTTGTACATTCGTAATTTTTTTGGCAACTATTTTGGCCATTGCTGTAACAGCATTCTCTTGGGAAAATTCTCTAAATGGCGCGAAGACAGAGTGCAGTCTAACGTGAATAGTCTTGGAAAAGTAGAAGTTTTCTTTCTTCGCCAGGGAATTTCACAAGAGGTTATCGTTAAAAAATTTTGTTCTTAAATAATAAATAGTGTAACCTTTTAAGTATTGTATTAGTTATTACTATGAAATGTGGTCGAAAATCCATTAATGTTTTATGTGCCGCGTCATTGTGTTTATTATTTATATACCGGCGTGTCCACTCATGGATTATTGGAACTTCAGAGCTTTATGATTCAGTGACGTAATGATGTACTCATAAGAACGAGACAACTGTAGTCCCTGGGACTTATAGACACGTTTGACTACAGAACGGATAGAATAAACCGCCAATTTGATTATTTTAGCGATATAGGTAGAGGCTACTCCTTGCAGTACTTTATTCAGCAGCTTAGAATAAATTTATATGAAAAATATAGACTTAGAATTAACATATCTTACAGAATTTCCACACTTTATCCTACAATATTTATGTATTTATCCATTCATTTAATCAACGGATACACCATTTACTAATAATACTTGGTATTTAAATTGGTTGTGTTCATCTTTCTCATCCAACGTGACAGTAATTGTAAGAACATATTATTCACAACGGATTTTCATTAAATGAGAAAACATGGACTTTATACACAAGATAAAATGGTCGTCTTACTTTCAGAAAATTATGGAATAGTAAAATGATCTTTTAAAGAGACGATAACTCAATCATCGAAAAGAGAGCTACTTCAATGCTATTGAGTTTCATCGCCAATGGAGCGAATATATCTCTGAAAATACACTGGATAAGAATTGTGATACTCTTATTTACTTACTAAATCTTGGTTTTATTGCATCTCATAGGAACTATTTCTTATTTCAACGTCCTGACTAATGAGGCGTAAAAAATACCTTAGTAATCCATCCCCAAATGTGTAACTAAACTGTACAAATGAAAAAAATAAAAACTACAATGTTTACCCCTCCTGTCAGTAACACATGTTTTTTCTATTTAAGAATTTGCCCAATCAGTTAGCATCCTGATTAAAAATAATGTTATTTTGTAGTGGTTGTGTTTTTTAGCGTGGACCGAACTCTGATAAAAAAAAAACTATTTCAGTAATACAGCACTAAAATGTGTCATACATATCACAATGCAAAGAATAAAAATCCTATCAGCCCTGAGCAGAAACTTATTGACCCGAGATGGAATAAGCAGGATGGCTAAAGAAAAGACAATTCCGCCGGAGGGTTTTGGGATAGAATACTGACCTGTTTACTTTTAGAATACTGTACCTTTTTCCTAACGATCTTTAGTCCCAACTTGACATCTTTGATCACTAGGCAAATCTTAGGAAACGTATTGCGCCACGCCAAGCTGTTTTTCTGCTTAAAACCAGACATACAGGGCCACGTCATGATTTGGTGACAGTGGTGATTGTAGGGATTTGAACCCGTGACCTCGGAATCGAACCTCCGTACTCTACCACTATGACTCTCTCCCCGATGACTCGCTGACTTACTCGCCTCTATTAAGCCTCTTCAATAGCTTTTCTATCGTAGGCCTACATTATTGTTTCATAAAATGTCTTTAATTTATCAACACATATAACAACGTGATACATCTTCTTGTTTCAAAGTGACTTTGCCCGACGCTGCTGTTGGTTTCCAATCATATAAAACATGCATGTGGCTAGGCTTGGATATGAGGGGGTGGTTTGAGTAGGAAGGGGGTTTGTTGGGCGGGGAAGGGGTGAAGCTAAGCTATGTTATATCAGTGCCGTGCCGTCCGCTATACCACCAACCCAGTACACGCTTTCCTTATTTCATGAACACGCGAACTCGCGTATTTTGTAAAAAATAGAAAAGTTAACTTGACATTGTGTAAATATCCTCTCAGTAGGTTAAGGAAGGTTTCGTTGGATTATCACGTGACGAAGTAAGAAAATGGAAGTAAGCAGTGTTATGTTTTTTTTTTTAGTTTATAATGTAACTAAATGGGTAAAATAGACTAAACAATATTCAGCACATAAAACAATTACATAGTTATGTATATTTAATTTTAAAGTAAAAAATCGGGTTAAAATTAGAGGGTGGCCTGCGAAAACAGTTGTCTTGATTTATTGCTATAAAACTTTGAAAAGGCAAAACTATAAATATCCCCCCTTATACTTACTTAGATCTTATGCTAATCAGATAACTAACAATTCTAAGAGATAAAATATCCCACTTTTTACTAAATTTGATCTAACTTAATATCATGTTTCGCAACATTATTTACAATAATTCATTTTCATGAAGATTTTTGCTGTATAAAAACTTTCTGTTTTAAAGTTGTGTTATGATATTGAATGATGAAACTGGTAAAATTATTATAGATCTTGTACGTCTAGCAGTAACTAAATCAGAAACTTGAAAACCTATTTACTTTATGACATTGAATACAACGACAATATGTAATCTTTTAGACAAAAACAATGGTCAGACAGCAAGTAATTTCTTAAGCCATTATTCACCTCAAATGTTTTTGAAAGTGATAATGCATTAAAACATTGCCAAAAGGGACTCGTATAGCATTAGATTTTTTTTTTTAACAACGTCAATTTATATCAATATTCTTTTTAGAATTTTGTAAACAATTCTTTTGGATTTATTAATTTTTTAATCAGTAGGGCAATCGTCATCTTAACAATAGATTTTTGTGTTTATAATTTAATACAGGAACTCTTCAATGTTGCAACAAATTTATTAGAATTTCAGTATATCAGAGATATGAAATCAGATTTGTACTATTAAATGAGTTAACTTATGAATAGTCTGCATCATATTTCCAATTTGATATAAAAGAAAATTAAACCCTATGAACTTATGAAAACCCTCTTAGTTGGACAAACTATTAATAAGGGCAAATGATTACATATGGGTCAGTCCTTTGAAGTTGTGGGTGAAAATCAATACGATTTAAACCTCTTGCTCCATTATTGTATCGGGTACGATACCCATTCAGATAATGAATAGCCCTTCAGATAATAGCCTTTTAGTGTCTGGTTTTCAAAAGTCTAGAGTGTACAACCAAACTACTTTGAAAATGTCAACAACTCAACATCAGACAGAGCCTTTAAGTAGCGAAGGGCCAGATATGTCCAACAGGAATCAATAATCAATATGGACATAAGGAGGTCTAATACTTGTAAGTAAACTGTGTTTGGTAGAAATACGGAAATTTTGGTAACCAAATAAAACTAATATTACTAGTGTTGGCAATAATGTAAAAAAAGATGGAAAACATCTCATTATTACCGAATTGAAATAATTATGATAGGTACATATATTTGTTGTATTAGTACAACAAGAATACAAATTTTACTCAAACATATTACACACAAATCTGAAACCGGTTATGAGTCATTGATGGGAGTTTTTAAATTTGAAGATCAAAAAGAGAAACAATGGATTCAGAAAAAAATTAAAATAAGTTTCTACATTCAAGACACGAGTTTACAGAGTTGAATAAGTTAACTCAATTAAAAATGTATGCATTGGGAAATACTCCCCGCAAGACTAACTAATTGTCTGTGTATGGAAAAGAGTCCGTAAATGAGTAATCGTTGTTTCAAATCGTTTCAAAGCTTAAAACATTAGGAGGGATTTGAGATTAATGCCAATCGCCTATCAAACATTTTAAATACCGCATTTACCCTAATAATCGCTTGGATAGCAATTTTAAAATGAAAGGCAACTGTTTTCATGATTCGCATCGTATTACAATGGTGCAAGGAAGGGATTATTCATGTAGCTATTATGAGACACGACAACAGATATTTTGTCCATTTGTCATACCCGCTGGTCTATTGACAGCATTTTGTAATCAATTTACTGTTCAGATTAATTACCCCACATGTTTCCGATGGTTATTTGATTTTGATTAATTATGAAGTCTGAAGAATTGAATGGTTACATTAAGTAACAAAGCCAAGATCAGGAGGTTATTGAATTCTCTTTCTGTTTTCCTCTCCTTCCTCCATAACTTCCTGCCCTTTCATTCCACTCTTCTTTCGAAATTATTTTTCATTATTCCCTATTATTATTTTACAATTATTCCTTATTATTTTCTACTCCTTACTTACTGTATATCCTCTTTTTTACAGTTTACCTCCCCTTATCTTCAACGAAACTCAAGTAAAAGTTAAATATTAAAAACCATCGGTAAAAATATTTTACTCAGTCATGTCATATTTTTTACTGTAATATTTTGTGCTTGGATACTTTTATTTTTTGGGTATTTTTGAAAGTTAAAAAGTTTTAAGTAATTTAAAACAGAAACCTATCAATATTACGCCCGTAAACATACTTGGTTTTATGAAAATACTGTACTCTTTTCTTATTCCTATTAAATACTCAAAAGTTATTTATACAATTTTCCAACTATTATACACTCACTTAAGTTTGGGTAAATGTACGAATGGTGTATCGACTGACGACTCCCTCTAGGATCAAAAATTAAACCTCACAAATTGTCACTGATTTTAATATCCAGTGTACTTGGATACTATTGAACGAAATTGATTCCGTCAAACGGTTAACAACAGCTAGGCAACTTAATTGATTCAAGCTTTCCTACCTACACGTAACTGAAGTTAATGGGTTTCGACTACAGATGAATGTTTTTACTGTTGTATTTTTGCCATTTCTAAGAAAAAAATCGTAATATCAATTGTTAACGGACTTGTAGTTTATTTCAAAAGGGTGCATTTAAACGTGGCATGCTTTATAACTTCTAAAGCTATTGACTACTTCTCTAACTGTAAATACCCACACCACTTCACATAATTTTGAAAACTCGGTGCAAAATCAGCTTTTCAATTTAGCAATAAATTGGTTAATGACTTAATTTGTTTACACGTTAGTTAAGTCCGAAAACTAACTAATTACAGGTTAGTTAATTAGAAAAACCCTTAATTTGGGGAACATTTATTCTTAAGTTTTATTTTAGGGAAATAAACTAGGTACATATGCATTTAGAAAAGATTGTTCAGTATATATCTTTTTACTACTGCATTTTGTTATAGAGCGTTAAAGCACTAGACGAGAAGACGTCGTTCCATACGAGGATTATAGCGCTGAAAGGAGTATAATACAATATATACAGGGTGTTTTTTTAAAAACTTGCATCTTTATTTATGTAAAAACCGCAATAGATAGAAATATGCAGTTTGCGGGAATCATCTATTGACGTAGGGGGACCAATTGTTTTGAATTCAACGTTACATTCACATTCCCCCCCTTTCCCCCCCTGCCCCCAACTTAATTGTTTTAAATAGCAAGGTACCCCTTGTGACATATCAAATAAAAGAGCATGAAAAAAGAAAATTTTTGGTGAAAAAAATTTAAAATCGGTTCATAAATTTGTGAGATATTCCCCCCCTCACCCCCCCCCCCCCCGGAACTTAATTTTTTTTAATAGCAAAGTACCCCTTGTGACATATCAAATGAAAGAGCATGAAAAAAGAAAAAAAATTGGCGAAATTTATTTTTCATTTGATATGTCACAAGGGGGGGGGGTTTGCTATTAAAAAACAAGTTATGGGTAGGGGAAAAGGGGGGTGATTATCTCACAAATTCATGAGCCGATTTTAAATTTTTTTTCACCAAAAATTTTCTTTTTTCATGCTCTTTCATTTGATATGTCACAAGGGGTACTTTGCTATTAAAAAAAATTAAGTTCCGGGGGGGGGGGGTGAGGGGGGGAATATCTCACAAATTTATGAACCGATTTTAAATTTTTTTCACCAAAAATTTTCTTTTTTCATGCTCTTTCATTTGATATGTCACAAGGGGTACTTTGCTGTTAAAAAAAATTAAGTTCTGGGGGGGTGGTGAGGGGGGGAATATCTCACAAATTTATGAACCGATTTTCAATTTTTTTTCATCAAACATTTTCTTTTTTTATGCTTTTTTATTTGATATGTCACAAGGGGTACCTTGCTATTTAAAAAAAATAAGTTGGTGGCAGGGGGGGAAAGGGGGGAATGTGAATGTAACGTTGCATTCAAAACAATTGGTCCCCCTACGTCAATAGATGATTCCCGCAAACTGCATATTTCTATCTATTGCGGTTTTTACATAAATAAAGATGCAAGTTTTTAAAAAACACCCTGTATATTTCCCCCAATATTCACGTTATATTCCTTGGTATATGTGTTGGATTCTCGCCGTTGTATTGTATAATCTACTTTAGGGTATTGGAGTAGAACTCCATCCATAAGGGATATATTAGTATTTCTGAATATATATTATTTATATAGTATATATAGAATATATAGTATTTCTGATATATTAGTATAGCTGAAAGACTTATAGCCAATGCTTAAAATACCAGGGATATAAGTTGCAGTTTCTCAACTGTGTATATTAAATTTCATTGAACAATTTTTGCGTATTTTGTTATAGATCGTGTGCTGTCCATACTTTGGCCTATTTTGATATAAACCCAACGTTTAGGTGACTAAATTAATTAATTATTTCTAAAATAAAAGGATTGCCTTATCCAACTACAGTTACTGCCTTATGGTAACTAGTTTCGTTCCTTAGAACATCGTCAGGTCATTGTATGCAACCACATCATCAATGTATTAATACATTGTGGTATGTCAAAAGATTCTTTAAAATACTGTCAAAATCACAATAGTCAGAACTAGTCATGTTGATAAAATAATTAAAATGGAATCAAAAGTGATAAGGAACTAAAAGAGTTGTCATACCAGAACTGTGGTTGGATAAGCTAATCCTTTTATTTTATAAATACTAGCTGTTACCCACGGACTCCAACCCGCTTGACTTCATAAGCATTGATAAAACTGTTGATTGGTTAAGTTAAGCTGAAATAAACAAAACAGAATGCAGCATTACAAACAAATAATCACACGAGATTTCAATAAGGCAATAAATTGAAA